TTCAGGTTCAAACATGGCTTCCCACAGGAAGAGGTCTTCCCCCAAATCCACAGACAATCACAAAAAGACTTAGAGAAACAAAACCACCGGGCCTCCAGGCATGTTCAGACAGGCTCCAGAAAATATCCACATATGCTCATTGTTAGAAACAAAACAATCTCAGTCTCATAAAAAGGAACAAGCAAAGTAGCGGCTCAGTGCGGCCATTCTTGTGAATCAGGTGCAGCAGAACCCACCCCCGCCTGGCAAGAACACTGCGTGCAAAAACTTCCCTTGGTTTTTCTTCTAATATAGGGTGTAACTGTGATTTTCCCATTGGCTGGTTTTAAAAGAATCAGCACAAAAGGAAGGAAAGAGGGAAGGGGTGGGCCACTGGAGTAGCTCAAGTTTAGAGAAGGCTGCAGGGCCTTTGTGTAAACAAAGGTTTCACCAGGTAAGGAAGAATTAAGATATTTGCATAAGGGTTTTACCAGGTGGAGAAGATAAAAGATATGAATTTCATGACATGAAAGCTGTATAGCATTCAACAGAGATAATATTTAAAGCTTCTGCCACCCTGACTAGGCTACCCTTCTAAGCAGTTCTGAGCAGTCACAGGGTATCCGCACCACTGACCCAAAAGCCATTCCTTGGCCCTGATAAATGACTGTAGAGGGACCGTGGCAGCGTGCCTTTGGTGTGGTTGACATCCCAACATAAATCCAACAGCAGACTGTGTGACCTCATCCTGGGACCTGAGCCAGAGCTTTCCCCTGAGATCTCTGAAGTTATCAGATCTGGAAAGCATCTCACTTGCTTTCTCCTTTAGCCACCCCCACCCCCCAACACACACACACATAACACCCCTTTTTTCTAACACAACCAAAGGCAACACTGACCACAGGAGGCAAGGAGGTAAAAATCAGAAATCGCCCACATTCCATTACCCTAAACTGCAGCCAGTGAATGAATATGCATTTGTCATAAGTTCAGTAGAAATCAAACTGCTACTCTTGGGTAATGCCCCATCTTCACCCAGCTTCTAATCTCTTCCTTTGGTCTTAGATGAAATCCCAAGTCTTGAGTGCTATTCCTTGCTCTCCCTCGTCTTTTCTTCTTAGCCCGTTTCTAGCCATCAGCCACTGCACAGCCAGCATGGGCTAAGTGTGGTCACCTGCCACTTGATAATCTGGTGCCTGCATCTCTCTGAGGCATCTGATCTTTACAGCCTCTTGCCACCCACACCCTCAGGGGCCCCTTAGTCTAGAGGCGTTTGGGCACAGAGAGAAACACAACATCCTGAGAGTTAGATGCCCGCGGAGCAGAGGAGAGGCCACAGCTCTCAGAAATCAGAGCGGTGGTACAGGGAACTCCTAGACTTAAGAAGGAAACAGTCAAGGCAATTCATTACGTGAGTTAGATGCCTGTCGCACCCTCAAGGAGAGCACAACCAAGGCTGTCCTGTGACGGTTAACGCCAACTGCTAACTAGACAGAATGGAGACTCACCTGGGAGATGGACCTCTGGGGGTTACTGTAATGCCATCAACTGAGCTGGAAAGATCTGCTGGGTATGGGTGCCATATCCCATGGCTGGGTCCCTGGGCTGCAGCGCAGGAAGGGAGCCGAGCAGCAGCAGCAGGCCTGCATCACTGTCCGCTCTTTTATTGTAAATACGATCCGAGCAGCGGTGTCTAACTCCTGAGGCTTTGATTTCCCTGCTAGGATAGGCTATGTCCTTGAACTAGGAGCCAGAAGAAGCCCTTTCTCTCTTAAGGTGCTTTACGCCCAAAGCAGTTTATCGAAGAGGAGAAAAGAAATAAGGCAGTTTCCAGTGCCAAAGGGAAAGAGCTGCTTAGGAGCCCAGCGGTATGAGTAAGATGAACACCATGGTTCTTTATTCTACAGTGCGTCTGGGTATCACTGTGTCTGGAATGGGAGGATTAGGCACGGCGGGCAGGGGGTGTCAGGAGCTGGACAATTTATTAGCTGTTACAAAGCATAGGCAATCAATAAATAATATTTCAACTAAATTCTATGTCTTCCCACTGGTTCTCTTTAGGAAAGCACAAACTGATGCCCAAACCTTCCTCTCTGCTCACGACTCTTCCTTTAGAGCATGTCTCATATGTCCACGGACAAATTTAGGAGGAGGGCAGAAGAGGAGAGGGAGGCCACCCTGACAACCACGCAGCACTGAAGAATCTAATCAGTTAATGTTTCAGGATCTACCCGTCAAACACTGACAGCTAGCAATCAATGTAAGAAGTTACTTTGCCAAATGGATGCTTTCACCTTTGAATCTGAGACTCGGAAGCCGGCACTGCTGGGCTGCCCTGGAACATTTCCAGGTTCTTATTCCAGCCTTGTGTGTTGGGTTTTGCTTCTAAAAGACAGCAACAAAGGCTTTGCTACTGGCTACTAAGTCCGCTTTTAAGAACTGCTAGGTTTTCTCTGCAAAGACGCTTCTGTTGTTTCCATTTCATTAGTTTATTTTCAGTTTTTCTCCCTTTTTTCCTCTCCATTTTAAATCCTCTCTCTCCATGGTGGGCCTAAATGCTCAGGTAATATACATACAAATGTCCCAGCGGACAGATGGGTAAGCACTATCTCCTCAAGTCCTCACTTGATGTAGCCACACCCCCTGCAGGGCTATTACAGTCCCCTATAAGGGGGCACCTCTCTGACTCAGTCAGCAGTACAGTGGGTCTATAAGCCAGGACTACTGGCAATACAGCCAAGCAAGTATTCCCATACTCCCCTTCCTAATGCATACATTACATAAACCCAGAAAAATTAGAACCAGCAGCAAAATAAAACTCATTCAGTCCTTTTTTGAAAATGCAGAGCCATATTTGTATTCATACACTCCACTCCTCCACACTCCACCCCTCCACCCCGCACCCCTATCTAAGGAAGAGAAGCACCTGTTCTATAAGTCAGAGTCCACACACTGAGGATGTTTCTAGGTCATTCATCTTTCCACTTTTGTGTATTACTCTCATGAACAGAGGAAACCTGAAAGTTTAATGTTTATTTCATAAATATTTACTACGATGGATAACTGTCCTTTAATTCTTTCAGAAAAAAAGGGGGACTAGCTGGTAAAGAATTCTGCCGTGTTGTGTAAACTTTTCAATTTCTGGAACCCATGGTGGAAGGAGAGAACTGACTGCCTAAAACTGTCCCCTGACCTCCATGGAGCTGTTTCATACACTAGGACATATGCATGCACACACAAATAATAATAATGATAATAATAATCATAATAATCTAGTTAGAAATGATAATACCAACAACAATAAGGTAAGTATTGTGACTATTCTAATTTTAAAATTAAGGAATTTAGAGTGAGCCACTAAATAATTTGCCTAAGACCACATTGCTAGAAGAAGGTCAAAGCAAGGCCTAAACCATCAGCATCACGCTTGTAGTGGTGTCGGCTTCCTTGATTTCAATTTTAACAGATACATAAAGGTTGTCACTTCCGTATTCTGTGTCCTAGGAGTGACCTTATTAAGGGCTAGACTCACGGGAGTCCAATACCGAGAGAGTGGCTAAAGAAATGAGCGGATGCACTCTGGAGATGCCTTTGCCTGTGACATTCTCCTTGCACCAAGGCCAGAAACAGGACTGGGGCAGGTTGCCTTGGAATTGTGGCAGGTCCAGTATCTAGCTGTTGATCCAGGGCCCACCTGCTTTCAGTTAGCTGAGGAGATTCCATCTCCTGAGCAGAGTGCACACCCGGGTGGGGGTAGGCGGTGTCAAGGCCATCAATATTTACATCTCCTGAACCTGAAGGTCAGTTCAAAAGGGCACCAGTAATTTATGGGGCTGTTGCAGTCACCCAGGGCAGATGCGAAAGAAGGAAGAGCCTGGAACTCTTCCCATTTCCTCTTTACGCTCTCTAATACAAGAGGTTGCTGCCAACCGCTGGGGCATTCCAAAGTGAAAGGTGAACTTGATATTTTTAGCCTAAAAAACATCACTTGCAGAACTCAGTGTTCAGGAATCTAACGCTATCAATGAGAAACCCTTCCAAGACTCCCTCAAATGAGACAGTGCGGGGGATCCTCTGACAGCAATCGCAGAGTGTACACAGGTACTTTAGATGGAGAACGGTTCTGGCATTACGTGCTGAAGTTACAGTTTAAAGTTGAAAATGAAGCCCAAAAGCCTACACATAGCATTCCTGGTTATGAAACAGGCCCCCTTGAGCACTGTCAAACGTTCTAATGTTCTTCTACATTGGCTTGCTTGCAACACACACACACACACACACACACACACACAGCAAAAAAAAAAAAGGCCAGCTAAATCCTTTAGGCTAAATACACACAGCAAAGAAAGTTCTGAGTCCTTCTTTTAGTGCTGGAGAGGTAACCAGGACTTTATGGATGCTTAGTCAAAGATCTAAGCCCAGGACAGAAAATACCCACTTGATCCACTTGATCCTTACCACCATCCTGACATACACACTTTACCAACTCAAAACTGGAGTGTGTATAAGCAAACAAAATGGAAAGACTGAAAGAAACGGAACAGGAGGGCTGAGTATTAGCTCGCACAGAACACTCACTTGGTCTTTCGTCCTAGCTTGTGGAGTCTCTGGCCTTTGTGAATAGAAGCTTTGTTCTGCAATACATCAACTAAGTTTTTTTTTTTTTGTTTTGTTTTGTTTTTTGTTTTTGCCCAGCAGCATTAAAAACGTGAGAAAGCAAAGTGTGAAGGGGGACGAAGAACATTGCTCAGTTAAAAGAATGCTTCACTCCTGTGTGAAGCCCTGGGTTCAAGGCCCAGCATATATAGAACAAGGATTGATGGCGCACTGCACGCTGATAATATCAATATTTGAGGATCGAGGCCAGAGAATCCAAAGTTCAGCGTTCTGCTCAGCTAGTGAAGGAGGTGAAGCCAGCCTGGGCTATGCGACATCCTGTCCGAAAGAAAAAAAAGAGAGAAAGGGTGGAAGGCACACAGTGAAAACGTGTTCACAGACTCTAACAGGATGGACAGACTAACCTTTGAGCAGACATCTTTTTGGGGGCACCGTGGTTGGAAATGGGCAAATATGAAGACTTTTCTGCTTGTCATTAAGAGGTACATCCAGAAGATATCCCAAGACTGTGATCTCCTTGTTGAAACCTGAGTTTTATCTTCCTGTTTTGATGAGGGCTGTCTTGAGGAAGGGCCTGCCGTGTTATAAATTACCCCATAACTCACTCCCTTCAGTAACTCTGTGGGACAGGAAGGAAGTAAATCCTGGAGTTGTGCATGTGTAGCCCTGAATCACACACATGCATGCCTTTGAGGCAGCAAATCCCCGTTGGCCGCTGGATGCCGTCACTCATTCACACCTGGAACAGAGCACAGAACACAGGTACTTAGAAACACCATACCCAGAGAAAGGCATCTTCATAACAGAACACAGACCCACGATTCTCACCCTTCCTATGCCATGAGCCTTTAATACAGTTCCTCATGCTGCAGTGACCCCCAACCATAAAATTATTTTTGTTGCTACTTCATAACTGTAATCTTGCTACCATTATGAAACGGCCATTGAACCCCCAAACGGGTCTCAACCCACAGGCTGGGAACCCCTGCCTTAGCTACATCTATGCTATTGCTTAGCCATGAGCACTCCTCTTCCCAACCAAGGGTTCCCCAGTGTGACCGAGACAAACTTAACACTGCAAAGCTCTGAGAACACGGGTCAGGATTCAGAACCCTGCCTAAGCGTTCTATACCAAACATGGACAGCGTGTTAACCTACTTGGACATGACTTCAATTAGTCAAACTGACCTGAGTGTAAGTGACCAGACTTCCTCATCAAAAAGAGAACCAATGGGATATCTTAACATGCCACTAGCTCACGGAGCAAAAGTCAGGAGTCCAAAGCCAGCACCAACCATGAAGAAAAACATCTCGAGGCTACCCTGTGTCTTCACAGGCTCATGTACCTACCCACTTTTCATACCATGGGCCAAAAAGAAAAAGACGCCTTCAGACAGTCGAAGTTTCTAAATTTTCTCACTGAAAGATGCATACATCTATGTTGTTCATGTCAGGCCAATGGGTTTGGGTGGATTTCTCATTTGATACAAAACTGGTCTTTTGGGGAGAGTCTTTAACAAAACCGTGTTCTCTGTACTTCCAAGCACAGCTGAAAAAGCTTGGGTCGCAGAGATAAGACCATTGCCTGCCTCCCTTTTGCCAGGAAAATACTCACAGAAGGAGGGCAAATGCCAGAAAAAATCTGCAAGGCTCAACTCAACTTCATCAGCAGACCTGCCCTTCCCAGCAGCCTGCCGTTTCATCAAGTTGGCCATCAGCTCAGACTCGGGAGGATTCACCAGTACAGTGGTCTCCCAGTCTCTAGGTGAGACTCAGCAGTGGCCCCTCAGGAAGGGTCAACATGTGAATGTTCCATACTCTGGCAGTATTTTGTAACTAATGCTCAGACTGGAAAAAGAAATGGTACTTTTTAGGCAAACAGAAAAAAAAAAAAAGCCGACTTAGGGGAAAAGCGAGGTATTAGAAAGTTTTGTCAATTGCTTTTCAACAAAATGACCACTTCAAAGTTTAGTGCCCACAATGGCAGAGAACAGAGACCCGACAAAACAATGACAGGACACATCTTTGACACAGTCTTTCAACGGCTGTGATCATACATTGAAGATAAAAACTCTCTTTTAAATAAAAACCATTGTGGTATATTTAATAGAATAATATAATTAAAATATCCTTTCAATAAAAGGATTGCTACCGTCCTTTTAAGCTTTTTTAAAATGATCACTGATTTTAAAGAGCTTTCTAATAAGATTATCTGTCCTACAAAATAGAACCAAGAGCACTCTGACTGCATAGGAATGAACCATGGTTGGCTTAACTTACAACAGAAGATGGTTCTACCTAGAGGGTTCTACGGAGCTTGCAAAGTCAAGGCCTTAGACTTCCTCGATGTGCAGAGGAAGCAGGGGGAGAACAATACCAGGCTGACGAGAGACCTCAGCTGGTAGAGGCCCCTGCCACTAAGCCTGAGCTCAGTCCTCCAGAGGAAGCAAGAGAAGGAAAGCACCAACTCCCAGAAGTTTCCTCTGACCCCCACGGCTTTCCTGTAGCGCCTGTGCCCACACATATACACAGTAAATAAAATGTATATATTACAACATTTTGGCCTGAGTTTAAACACACACAAAATTAAGTTCCTGCTAACCAATACCATATTTAAGAACAAAACAAAACAAAAACATGGATGTAACATATCTTTGGAATGCATCTCCATGAACACTCCACCCCCACAGCCTAGGCTTCCCAGGTGATTTCAGCTACACCTGTGCTGTGAATTACTGTATGGATGACAGATTTAAAAAAAAAAAAAAAACTGAAATCACACTTGTGCGGTTTTTCCTTCAGTGTTAACCCTGTACAAATGGAAAGAAACCGGTCTCGTGAGCATCCCACTGGCCACCATGGAGGTCAGGAGATGGTTGAGCGTAGGCATAAAGAACAAGGCAATGCCCATGGCAGACATCGTGTCTGCCAGACATGAGGCGTTTGGAACCTTGTGCCACCCTAATCCCTGCTCTGCATTCCCAAGTCACTGAATTGTGAAGGCTTGGAAGACATCTTTAGCTAAAACTGGAGGTCGACAACTGCATGTCAGACTGTGAAAAGATCTTTATAAAAACCCAAGGGCTGGTGCTACCTAAAACAGCCAACAGGACAGCCTCCACCTCCACTCACTCCTCCTCTTCCTCTTCCTCCTCCTCTCCTCCTCCTTTCAATGAAACACCAGCAAACCACATTCAAGGTCAGAAAAGGTCCCCTTGACCAACTAAACTGCTCTACCATATTTGATCTTCAAAATTAAAAGGCAGGGAGTTAAAAGTGGTAGCCAAATTCTAGATTCCAATTTGAAAACCGGAACTTGGTGCAGGACATAGACCAAAATAAAGACAAGTCATCTACTGGCATTTAGAGAGATTTCTTTTGTCAAATACTGATTCACACACTGGGCAAAACAATGACTCATGACAGCAGAGGACCATTCATGCCTTAGATATATCTTCAGCCATTTGGATGTGCAAGAGAGAAATGGCGAGGCCTGCCCGGAGTAGGATTAAGAAATAACTGACCATGGCTAAAATAGTAAAGCCTCTAAAAGAGACATACAGCAAGGAGTGCAGTCAGCAAAATGTCACCAAATTACACCCTTCGGTCTGCCTTGCCTTTAAAAGGCATGCCCTTCAGACACACATGCAGCCAGCACACAGCACAGCCAGGAAAACACTCTGCAACCAAAATGACACCCTAGGAGTCTGTGGCAGGTATAAAAGATGGTTTAAGATATAGGTTTCATTTCCCTGTCTAAATAAAATATCCATAGAAATGATCTCCTGATACACAGAATCACCCCCAAACAGGGCTTGATTAGCCAGGCATCGGGCCTGCCATCCCTACACTCTGGTGGCTGAGGCAGGAGGATTGCTGCAAGGTTGAGGGTAGCCTGAGATGTTCATTAAGCACCATCAAGAGCCAGGCCAGTCATAGTTACAAAGTGAGACCTGATGTCAAAAGTATTAAAAGAGATTTTAAACCAAGTGACGCGCCGGTTTATTCTGATCCAAAAAAGTGAATGGACCAACTAAGTCCAAAGTCCTCCTCCCATTTACCCACTGACCACAGGGAAATAGGAAGCTGGTTTTATTGATTTACCAGGAAATGACTCGCCCCCACATTAAAATCTTTCCCGAACAGTGAACCACATCTGCTCAGTTTCAACTGGGATGCAGCAGTCCTCCAACACAAATGTTTATTTGGTTAATATTTTTGAGACAGAGTCTCCCTACGGATTCCAAGATGGCCTGGGACTCACTAGCTAGTCCAGGCTGGCCTTAAACATGGAGTACTCCTCAGTTTTCCCAAATGCTTGGATTAGGGATATATATGCCCACACCTCCCCCAACTTTTGATGCCAAACTTTTAAAGAAGTTGTTTGGAGGAGAGAAGAAAATAATAACAGATACCAAGCCGGTCAGCGGTGGCACGCATCTTTAATGCCAGCACTTGGGAGGCAGAGGCAGGCGGATCTCTGTGAGTTCAAGGCCAGCATGGTCTATAAGAGCTAGTTTCAGGACAGGCTCCAAAGTTACAGAGAAACCCTGTCTCGAAAAAAAAATAAAACAAAACACAAACAAACAAATAAAAAATAACAGATACCAAAAACAACTGGATATTATAACAGAAGGAGAGACTATTTTTTACTCAGACGTATATAAAATTCAAACCAGAAATCAAGGGCAGCCTATTTAAACCTGAGACACCAAAGTGAACACTATTCGCCCCTTCAGGGCAGCCTCTGTAGAAGACTCTTACAGACCATTTGTGGCTGTTTTATATCAATGCTGTAGACATGTATGTTTGTTTCGTCACTGATAGGAATGATTTGGGAATTACACGGGGAATCACAAATACTGCTATACCTCCGTCTGTGTAGTTGTCAAACATTCTGGTTGCTGAAAAGTAAAAAGAGACAATTTACTTCAGAGCCCTGGGTCCCCGACTCTGAGAGCTGACTTGTCTCATCATGGGGCAGCAACAGATCCAAAGCTAAGAAGAGGCATCCCCATGCTGAAGGACTGAGCCCACAGCAGCCTGCTCCTTTAGCACACTTGGCTCATGAAACCTTGCTGAAGCCTTTGGCCTGTTCATCTAATTTGCCAATTTCCTGGGCTCGACACCAGGAAGAAGGTTGAACATTTGTTGTCGTTTGTTTGTTGCGTCATAACAACTCAAGGCTTCCTTGCCACATTGGAAGAATCTGGCCAGTCAAGAGGAGACAGAAAGACAGACACCGTCAATCCCGCTCCTGCTTTCCCTGGGAATCAGTCTAGTGTTACTTTCTAATCGTTCTAGCGAGCCATTCTTGTGTCCTCTCTTTGAAAGGTTGTCCTCACTAGCCATAGGTTCTTTAACACTCAAAAGATGGGACCTGGAGAAATGGCTCAGTGGTTAAGAGCACTGGTTGATCTTCCGAAGAACCCAGGTTCAATTCCCAGCACCCAGATAGCAGCTCACAACTGTCTGTAACCCCAGTTCCAGGGGATCTGACACCCTCACAGAGACATACATGCAGGCAAAACACCAATGCACATAAAACAAAAATAAATAAGTCATTAAAAAAGTAAAAAAAAGCTCAAAAGAGTTCAGATGGCAACAAGGGGAGGACACCTGAAAGGAGAGGACACTGTCCCCAAAAACTAAACGATGGCGTAGAAATGCTAAAAGGTGTGCCTAGGTAGGCCTGGGGAATCTGCTGTAAACAGCAGCTTCCTTAGAAGTCACTGTGATAACCAAGGGCAGCTTCTGCAAGACCTTT